TCAATTCCTTCAGAGACGTTCATTTCTCGAACTATTTTTTCCAGTACTAAGTTAAACAGCACTGGAGATAGTGCATCGCCTTGTCGGTGACCTGTTGTCACTCCCACGGGCTGTGATATTGTGTTTGCTATCTTGACTTTTATATCTGTCTGGCTGATGCTATATAGCTCCAATGAGGTTTACGATTTTTCTTGGAAATCTGAATTCTTTGAGTATATTTACTGGGTTTTCCCTATGAATAGAATCATAAGTTTTTTTTAAGTCCACAAACAATATGTGTACATCCTTATTATACTCCCAACTTTTTTGGAGGATCTGTCTTATAACGAAAATCTGATCTGTTGTGGATCTATTGGGCCTAAATCCTCCCTAGTAGTCACCTAGTAAATTCTCTGCTATAGGTCTTACTCTATCCAGTACACAATATGCTAGAMTTTTGTACGTTGTATCTAGTAATGTTATACCCCTATAATTACTACACTCTTGTGGATCATTTTTTTTATGAATAGGGCAGATTAATGCGGTGCCCCAGTCTTTAGGAAGTCTTTCTTCGTGCCAAATGCTCTCTATAATACTATGTATTTTATTTATCGTTAATTCATCTAGGTTTTTTAGCACTTCTTCTTGGATTCCGTCCTCCCCAGGAGTTTTATAGTTTTTTAGCCTGTTGAGTTGTTGTAATATTTCATCTCTGCTTGGAGGCGGACATTCATTGTCATTAGGTTCCGTTGACATCCATGCAAATGTCTCCACTGGGTTTTCACAGTTAAGTAATCGTCCAAAATAGTGTTTCCATTTTTCAAGTATTTTGTCCTGTTCTGTTACTAGAGAACCATCGTCATTTTTTAGGAACTTATTATGTTTTTTGTATTTTCCTCTAATTGAATTTATCTTCTGGTATAGTTGTCTAGTCTTATTTCCTCTATGGTCAATTTCGGCTTCTTCTAGTACATCCATTGTATATTTCCGTTTTTCATATCTAAATATATTACTTGCTTCTTTTTGGCGTTCTTTGTATACCATAGCTTTCTCTCTATTAGTAGGATCGTTGAGCAATTGAGTCCTGGCTTCTTTTCTTCTATTAAATGCTTCCTTACAGGAGTTGTTGAACCACGGTTTCCTTGTTCTCTTTTGTTTTCCTATTACCATGTCTGTAACCGTTTTTAGTATCCTTTAACATTTTCCATTTGGTATCAATTGTCTCTTCTTGATTTATGTTTAAGCTTAAGCTGTTCATTGTTTCATGTAATTGCTGCTTGAAAAGTTCACATATATTAATGTTCTTTAACTTATTCACATCAAATCTATCCACTAATGTTCCTTTACTATGTACTAGTTTCTTGAGCTTAACTTTCAGCTTTCCTTTAACTAGATAATGGTCTGAGTCACAGTCAGCACCTCTTACGGTTTTAACATCATGTATACAATTTTTGAACCTAGTATTTATCAGAACATGGTCTATCTGACTGACATAACTACCATTTGGTGCCTTCCATGTACCCTTATAAATATCTTTATGCGGGAACATCGTGCTCTTTACAATAAGCCCTTCACCACTTGCAAAATCTATAAGCCTGAATCCATTCTCACTAGTTACATCGTGAAGGCTATGGATATCAACCGTTGACCGAAATATGTTCTCCTTCCCTAGCTTGGTATTGAAGTCCCCTAAAACTATTCTAATTCTATTTCGTGAAATTTCGTTTAGTGTGTGCTCCAGGTTATCATAGAACTCGCCCTTCTCCTCTTGCGGTTTTTYTTCCGTGGGTGCATGCCCATTCACGAATGAGATGTTGAAATATAGTGCTTCTATTGTTAATACTGATATTCTTGGATTAATGCTTTTGAATTCTCTTACTGAAGGTACTAAGTTTTTATATATTGCGAAGCCCGTTCCAAATTGACGATGTTTATTACATTCGCCGTAGAAAATCCTGAATCTCTATCATTCCTTTACCATCCCACCTTATCTCTTGTATACCACTCCTAGTTTATATTTTTCTATCTCCTCAACTAAGTATTGTACTGCTCAGGTTTAAAAAGTAGGCGAACGTTTCATGTTCCAAATGATAATCCATTTTTCCATTTTCCATTCTTATTTTCCAAAGCTCCACGGTTCCGAGGCAAGTTTGTTGTTAGTTCCTGAACAATATTTTTTTCTAAGTCAGGGTTGTTAGCCCTGCGCTAAACCCCCAACCTGGAGGACCAGTCTACTCCAACCAATTAAGGTCAGAGTAGGGCTATTGCAGTGTACTTACTAAGTACACTGGGCAATGGGCATGCCACTTTCCCTAAGCCAAATTTATTATTAACTATACAAAAAAAAATTCTATGTAATAGGTTGTGACTACATAAAAAAAACTTGATGTGTATAAAAATATGTTAAAATTAAAAATGTTCACGCCAAGCTTTTTCATTGGAAAATGTATCAATAATATCATCATAATCCAAGTTCTTTGTGATATCAGACTCTATGGTGAAAGCAGCCAAAGAATTTAGCCTTTCATCCGTAGTTCTTGATCTCAAATAAAATTTGACCCTTTTGTAGGACTGAAAAATATCTCTCAGCAGAACAGTTAGATATAGGACACGACAAAAAAATTCTTAACGCTATTTCTACATATGGATACAATTCTTGATTGTTATTTTTTATGATTAGAGGGTACATTTTAAGTACAGAAATAGGTAAATCATGACTTGGTAATGTCAATAAAAAACTTCTGAAATGGACAYATTCACTTAAAAATATTGAGGCAAGATCGTTGTGGTAATACTTTTGTAGATTTTCAGCATTTTAATAAACTTCAGATGGTGTCAAATTAGTAATACTAAACAAAAAATCAAAATGTTCACATACTTGTTCATAAACATTTATTCATTTTCTCAGTTCTCAATTAAGTCTATCTATAATTACCAAAAATGATTTTATTTTTAAAGTTTAACAACCATC